TTTTTTTGAAGCGAGTGGTTGAAGCAAATGGAGCATAAGAGCCCCCTGGTGGCTGAAGAAAAAAATTCATGTATAAGCCGCACCGGTCTATAAGCCGCATGGTTCAAAGTTCAGGGAAAAAAGTCACGGCTTATAGTCCGAAAAATACGGTATATAAAATTAAAAAACGATGGCTGGATAGTGTTTTTTTCCCCACTCAAAATCAGTATTAAGTAAGAGTGAAGTAGAGCTGTTTTTTAATGAGGTGGACAGAAAAAAGACCAGCTGTGTGCTCACGCTCCTTATTGGGACCTGGATCAAACCAGCTAAGCTCTTTTTAAAACTGGCTTCAGACAAAAAATAAATAATTTTTAACAAAATAACACGCAGACGGAAGAGCTGCTTTGGGTCCTCCTGTTCTGGTCCAGCTTGGTCCAACTCTCAGCGCCGCCACAGCTGAGGAGCGCCGGCCCGCTGCGGTGCTTCATGAATAAACACACTCACGAAGTTCAGACCAATCACACGCTCCGAGCCGCATCCTCCACGTCTCGGAGTGCTGACTGGGGGCAGTGAATAGGACAGCTGTCACCGGGGGATCGCAGCGAGAGTGCAKACGGAAGTTGCGCAACTTTTTGTCACTCAACGGGAGGTAAAAGACGTGCGACAAGAAGTATAAACCAGCCTTTAATGGGAGACGACCAAGGAGGACACTATTGTTGAAAACTAATCCTAGAGAAGCCTGATTGGAATCTGCCAAACTACATGTTGACAAGCCGCAAAGCTTCAGGGAGAACGTCCTCTGGACCGTTGAGACAAAAATTGAATGTTTTGGCAAGACACATCAGCTCTATGTTAACAGCTAGAAAAATGAAACACATGAAGAAAAGAGCACCGTTTCCCCCCTGCTGTCTAATAAAGTGGTCATAATGATGTGGCAGACCTGTGTATACAGTCAGTGATGACTGTAATAAACTGTAGAAGTTATAATAATTAGTGTTCCTTTTAAAAAATACAAAACAGACCTTATTTGCAACATTTGTATTTATCTCTTCACCTCCTACTTTTTGTTGTTTGCTCAGGTTATTTTGCCCAGTAAAGAACTGGTCCTGGCAGGAAAAGACGCTGCGGCCGAGTACGATGAACTGGCTGAACCTCAGGACTTCCAGGACGATCCAGAGTGAGTAACCGCCGTATGAACCTTCCAAAAAAAAACCTACGAGCGTGAACTCACCTCTCTGTCTCTGTGCCGTCCTCAGCGTTGTCGCCTTCAGGAAATCCAACAAGATCGGATTCTTCATCAAGGTCATCCCCCAGAAGGAAGACGACTCCGACGTCGCCGTCTCCTTCAAAATCCGACACGACTTCCGCAACCTGGCCGCCCCCGTGCGGCCGAGCGAGGAGACGGGCGACGCCGCTGCCGCTGCCGAAGCCGTTTGGCTCACGCATCACGTGGAGCTGAGGCTGGGGCCGCTCGCCCCCTGAGCTCCAATCAGAACGCTCCGAATTAGTCTCTTCAAACCACGTTCTGATTTCACTGGCAGGAGTTTCAGACTTTTTTGCTTTTGACGGTTTTCTCAGTCGTAGGTGAAGTAGCTTCAGCAGACATTGTGGGGGTGAAAAAAAAAACCAGCATGAGAGCTGAGCAAGTTTACCTTCATTTAATGCTTCTTGGTTAGTTCCAGTGCTGCTGATTGATGTAACAAACATGTAAGAACAATGATTCAGTAAAGATCTGCTTCAACACTATAAACCATCTGTCAGTGAGAAATGCTGCAGAGAAAACTAACTCCTTTGTCTTAAATCTGCTCTCCTCATTGTATTCAAATGTGGCGCTCTTCCAGGATTATTTATGTCCGCCGAATTAGAGCTTATATTTAAATGTTTATACACCGGGATGGCACAGAGCTTGTAGAAATCTGCACCAAACACACCGCTTCTAGTTTCCAACTAGTTTTATATGCATGCTTCAATATTAGCAAAGCCAGCTCATGTTAGACAGTGTTTCTGTTCTGTTGTGTCCCAAAAAGTCAGCAGCACGTTAACCACCAAGATTAAAAATCACAGGTGAGCAAAGGTAATTTTTTTTTAATCCGATGGCCCAGATTAGGTTGGCATTGCTAAGATGTGAGCTCAGATCCCTGTAGATTAATTATCAGGAATCTGTCAGCACCTTCTATAAACAAAGAGCAAACGGCTCCATAAGCATGTCGACGTCACACAACAAGGATATAAATATTTATCATAGTGTTTGTCTTCTTAAAGGTGTATAAGAAGCTCTATAAACCTGATTAAGGAGTCAAATTCAACGTGAATGTGTTTAAATCTACATTTTTTCCCCATCATTCTTTTATTTGGTTTGTAGACGTCACTAACATCCCTGCTGGTGGATTGTGAACTGTTCTTTATGTTTTCTGCTTTTTGTTTGGTGTGTGCACTTTGTAAAACTCAAGTTGTGCTTCAACAATAATCATCAGAACAGGAAAATAAAACAGTGCAGTACTGCAAGGACTCTGGGCTTTTATGTTGCTGACAAATGTCACATTTAAGGTGCTCTCTTTAGAATTTTAGTGATTTTTTTTTACACCCAACACAATAAAGTGCCTGTGACATGCATACCTTTTCATAAACAAAAAGTTAAAGAAGGGATTTTTATCTTTAAGAAACTTGGCATACTACACAATTTTACCCTTTTTGGTAACCACATAACTGGTATATTTTAAACTTGGCTTAGCCAAAGTGAAACAAGGAGTGACCTCAAAGGGGAACTTTAACAAGATAAAATCCCAGGTAGGGTTGGGCCATATTGGCAGAAAAATTAATCACGATTAATTGTGATATTTAGCCGATAACTATTAATCCCCTGGACTTGCTCGTATCCTGGTCACATGACCAATTTAAATAACTAGTGGGAAAGATTTGCTCTCCATAAAAATCTGTTCCAAATCGTGTGAAAAGGACAGACTTCAGGCTATACATTAATTTTGAAATTGTGTTGCGAGACCAAGTAAAACCGAAGTTATAAATAAATTACAGAACTATTTCTTTTAAATGTTCATCATATTTGAAGCACAGAGGAGCACCAAGCGGACTGACCGGCCTGGCGGTGCCAAAAAATAAAGTTTTACTGACAGTTAGTTGTGAACAATATGATTTTTCCCTGCCCTACTCCCTGGTCTTTCTGTATTCAAACAATATTATTTGAACTCTGACCCTTCATCTCTCTGATAGTGACTCAAGGTAATCTAAAGAAACATGAAATTATTCTCCATCACTTCCTGTCACTGTACACAAGAATAACTCAACAACTGTTCATCTTAGCAGCAGGATTTTTTGCAACATATTATCAATGATATATTTCCAAAAATGCATTCATGTTTATTACAAAAAAATTGATGTTACAGGCACTTTAAACTGTAGAACTACACTAATAAAGGAGTTTACATTAARCAGTTGCTATGATTTCAGTTGTTTTTTTACTGTAACTCAATCTCGCTGTGTTGGTTTAGTTATTTATTATTGTTATTATTATCATTATTATTATTAGTATTATTGTTGTTGTTGTTGAACTTCAGTAAAACCGGTCATCTAGCTTAAAAAAAAATACATTTTTGTCATTATTTCTTGAGGGGGCGGCTGATAAAAATTCAGCTTGTAGTTCTTTTTTTATGTTGCCAAATTTTTTTCTTCTATAAATATTAATGACTTGGTAAATGTGTCTGGGTTGTTTAGATGTGTTTTGTTTGCAGACACTACTTTTTATTTGTTTGGGTAAAAACATAGAACAGATGTTGGAAATGATGGAAACAGAATTTGTAAAGTACAAAAATGGTTTAATCATAATAAGTTGTCATTAAATTTGGATAAAACAAATTACATGATATTTAGTAATAGAAAGAAAACAACTGATGTTCCATTTAGAGTGGATAGTGTTGAAATTTGCAGTCAGTGAGGTGAAGTTTTTGGGAGTCATGATTGATGAAAAACTGACATGGAAACCTCAAATAAATTACTCAAGAACAAAAATGGTAAAATCTATTATATAAAGTTAAGGAGTTATTTAATGATCAAGCACTATTCATACTATATAATGCAATTATCGTTCCACATTTGATTTATTGTACAGAAGTCTGGGAAAATGCACGTAAAACAATTACTAATCCTATTTTTATGTCCTGATGCATCTCAGTACCGGCACAAACAGAGCAATGTTGTATATGCTGCTAAGTGCCAGGAGGACTGA